TGCAAGAGTGGGCAAAGGCAAGTGTCCCGTATTTTTCGCTCCATAAGACGCACTTTCCCCCTCCTAAAAAGTAAGGGGAAATGTGTGTGCATCTTATGGAGCGAATGCAGGGGGGAGGCAGGCAGGAAAAGCCCCCAAGAGCTGCACACAAGCTCCGCGCGGCTCTTGCGGGCTTTTCCCCAAGAGGGAGAAGGGACTGACGCGGCAAGTCAGTCCCTTCTCCCTCCTCGTAGAAAAGCCCGCAGCAGCCATGCGCTCTTTAAAGGGTGCGCGGCTCCTGTGGGCTTTTGTGGGAGGTGGGGGAATTGCCGTGGGATGGATTCTGCTCGCTGTCTTGGCTTCTTTGCTCTTTGGGGCTGGGGGTGGGGCAATAATATTTTGTTTCTTGATTTCCCCTTCTAAAAACTAGGTGCGCCTTATGGTCCGGTGCACCTTATGGTCCGAAAAATACGGTAATTTTCTCTGCTCCCCTTTTCTGCCCTGGCTGGAACTATTGGTAGGGCTGTGGATGTGGAGGTGGCTATACCACTCCCGCTGGCTGCCTACCAGGGTTTGGGATTGCCCATTTAGTACCCAAGCATAGTGGAATCCCATTATATTTGGGCATAACCATAGTGTCAAGAAATCATAGGTTCTGTGAGCCCCTAGTTACATAAATGAGTGCAAACGACAAGTGCTGAATTTCTCAAGCGAAAGCTAAAATTGGATGGCAATTGACAAGCTGCCTCAGTTAACCGGAAAAAAACCCCACCCATAGATCCCGGTCTGACAGCAGCATACACTGCAACACTTTAGCAAAACCCGAGCAGTGTGAAGAGCTTGATCTGGAGCTTTGTCTGTTGCAAACGCTTGCACATCAAGGGGCGAAACTGTCAAGTGAGATCAACACAATGAGTTCTTTGTTCACTCAGGGCAGCTGCAGAACGGAGAAACACTTCACCTGTGAAATATCTGCTTGTCTTGCAACTGTGAAAGGCACAGGTGCCCAGCCAGAATAAACCACTGGTTATGCTAGATGAAAATCAAAATAAATGTTTGCATGGAGACAAGAATCAACTCATTTTGAAGAGTGTGGTGCATGGCCAGCAGAGATCTCTGCACATCCCAAGTTAGGACACCCTCATAGCAAAATTGTCATCTCTCTCCCCCTTCATCCACCCTTCCACACCCTTTGAAACCAGCAACACAAGGACATCGTCTGCCAGCCTTCCTACTTTAATTTACACTGCACTGGAGTTAATTGAACAGCAGCCAAGAGTACTGAAATGCATTAAGTGTGTGTTTATTTGTTTTGCTTAACTGTCAGTAGGCAAAATTAGGGCTCTGCTAAAATGGAAACTGATTAAAGGGTTGGCAAGGACAGAGAAAGCTTGACGGAAGGAGCTCTGCTAAAATGGCAGAGCAAGGGAAATTAATTAGAACATTGCCCCTATGTGCTCTTCATCAAGGAGCGCCGGCCGTTTTTAGGCCTGTGAGCACATGTGGCTTCTTGAGCGAGAGCCATGGGTGTTGCCGCCACTCTTTCTGCTCACTTTCCTCCCCCCCCCAGATCATTCCCCCACCCAAGACACAGAAAGCATGGCATTGCACCCACAAAAAGTTCACTTTTCCAAGATATTTGGCAAAAGCTGGATGCAGTAGAATTCACCTGAGCCTTGAAAGGGATCTAGAGCAGAAAGAGCAAGTGTAGAAAAGTGCCACTCACCCAACTTCCAGCTCTATGGGCCTTTCAAGAGAGGAAAAGGTACCGTACTTTTCCGTGCACAACACGCCCCCCGTGTATAAGACGACCCCTGTTTTTTGAGACCCCAAATTAAGGAAATGGGGGGAGATTGCCCAGAGTTGGTAAGCTTTTTTTAGGGGGGCGGGATTGCTGACAATCGCTCACCCGCCTGACCAATCGCATGCATTGCCAGAGACACCAATATCGTCTGCCCACTCGCTGCCAGTAGCCACCAATCACCTGCCCAATCGCCACAGACAATCTCCTGCTCGCGGCTGCCACCAATCGCCTGCAAATTGGCACCAGCCACTTGGTTTTTCGCCTACCTCGTAGCAAATTGTCACAACTTTCTTGGTATTGGCGGTTAGGCATTGGCACTGGTATTGTTATGTAGATGGAAGGGGGGGAGGAAGCGCCATCACCTGCCCGCATATTGAAGGGTAGTTCGATAAAGGATTCTGGGGGGTGTGGCCCTATCTAAAGCCTATGGAGGTGAGAGCCTCAGCCACGCCCCCTAGCAGTGACCCCGGGGGAGTTCCTACCGTATTTTTCGCTCTATAAGACGCACCAGACCACAAGACGCACCTAGTTTTGGGAGGAGGAAAACAAGGAAAAAAATATTCTGAATCTCAGAAGCCAGAACAGCAAGAGGGATCGCTGCACAGTGAAATCAGCAATCCCTCTTGCTGTTCAGGCTTCTGGGATAGCTGCGCAGCCTCCATTTGCTCCATAAGATACACACACATTTCCCCTTAATTTTTAGGAGGGAAAAAGTGAGTCTTATAGAGCAAAAAATACGGTAATTGATGTGCATCAGCAGGACTCCCCCTACTGGTGGTTAACCCTTCCCGGACTTCAAGCGGACGGGCTGAAGCCGGATTGTCGGTTAGGACCAATGCCTAAGCCAATGCCGCTCATCACCGGTAACCAATAAAGTTGTGGCCATATTTAGCCCATTAAGCTTAAATATCTGTGTCATGTGTCTTTATTTCCACTGGGGGGAGGCGGGAACTCGCCACGCAACTGCTTCCGCCAACTCATGGCCAAAGGTGTAGTGTGTCTCTGTGGGCAGTTTAAAGGCTTCGTGGGCATCAGGGGAAGACCTCAAAGGGATTACCTGGCTGGGGGCGGGGGATGCGCTAAGAGGCAAGGGGGCTGCAGGGGGGCACTGGAGGTGTCAATGAAGACCGGATTTTGAAAAGCCAGTATCACTGGATAAAGCTCATCAGTTTTGTTGAATTACATCAGCTAAGTAGTTTTAACTGGATTATGAATAAATGTGAAATTAATTGTTCCTTTTCAAAAAAATTATTGCATTATTATCTTGCCAAATCACTGTTCTGAATAATAATAATAATAATAATAATAATAATAATAATAATAATAATAATAATTTTTAAAGTAGGTTGGCACTGGGGATAAGTTTATGCAACCAAGTGAGTAGCGGCCCAAAAGTGTTTTGGAACCATTTTCTTAAATAGATGGAATGATTTGGGTATTTGGTTTTCTTTTTTAAGTGGGAGAAAGCATGGTAAACAAACAGGCTAAAAATAGCGCAGCCCAAGCCAAGGCATGTTTACCCAGAAGGAAAACCCCGGTTGGTCCAAGTGGGTGCAGGATTGCAGCAGCAGCCATGACAAAGGGACAGGGCACTGCCAGAATGTTTATTCTGGCTGCGTGCAGAAGCCAGTGATCTGCTAGAGAAGAGAGAGGGGTTTTCTAGTGACAGGCAACTGGCGTTCCAAGGAGAGAGGAGCAAAGCGCAGCGATTTCTCAGCTCTTGGCCAACTTGCTCTGACCTCTGGAAAACTTTCCCTGGGACTTGCCAGCCCGCCTGGATTCCATCAGGACCAGAAGCAGACAGAAAAGAGCATGTTTAAAAAACAGTCAGTCTTTTAAAAGGGGGCAGGGAATGGAAGTTTGTACTATACAGTTACTATAACACCCTGAAAGCTCAAAAAAACCACTTTTAAAAGATGTGCGTCCCCCTGTTCAACGTTGTATCTTGGTGGGTATGAACCTGGGACAGAGGAACCTGACAAATTCGATTTCTCCCAATTCCTCGTTTTCCCAGTCTTAAGTTTGGCTCTCCCATGTTTCCACATCAATTTGCAAATTTCTTTGTGAAAAGTCCCCATGAGCCTTTTGGTGCGAATCTCTCCTAATGTTTGTGTGCAATTTTGCTCATCTTTTTTCAAAACAACCCCCCCCCCAAAAAAAATATGCATTTCTTTCCATGTCATTTTCACTCTTATTTGCATTGATGTGGACACTTCACCCTCCAGGTTATACATTTTTGGACTCATTAACTTGTCTGGAGAACTCTGTTGCAAAATTCGGAGAAGCGTGTGTTTTGAAAGACGGTCGAGCTCTGCTTCTTCGTTGTTTTGGAAAAATCAAATTAGGTAATTTGCCTTCAAATGCAAATGGAATAATCCGATTTCTCCCTCCCTCAACAAGCTCTCCCCAACCAATCCTGCCTGGTTGAGTTCTTGCCATCCTGGCTTCTACTAGCCAGAATTAACACCAGCAACTGAGAAATCTGGGCAGATGCTCCTGGCTTAACCAGTGACAGGGGAGCTCATGGATGGCTCTAAACAGAGTTCATGTACCAGTGGCAGAACACATGCTTTGCACATGCAACCTGGTCCCAGGTCCAATTCTCCAGTTAAAAGGAACTTGGACGGACACTGTTCTGCACAGACCAGTGTCCAGTGCCGAGGGTCTTCTGGTGGTTCCCTCCCTGCGAGAAGCCAAGTTGCAGGGAACCAGGTAGAGGGCCTTCTCAGTAGTGGCACCCGCCCTGTGGAACGCCCTCCAACCAGATGCCAAAGAGAAAAACAACTACCAAACTTTTAGAAGACATCTGAAGGCAGCCTTGTTTAGGGAAGCTTTTAATGTTTAATAGGTTATTGTATTTTAGTGTTCTGTTGGAAGCCGCCCAGAGTGGCGGGGTATAAATAAATTATTATTATTATTATTATTATTATTATTATTATTATTATTATTATGGTTGGCAGGCAGGGTTTCGCCCCTAAAACATGGAGTGGCGATGCTACTAGACAGGGCAGAATGTACCAATGGTCTGCCCTGGTGTGAATTAGCATCATATGCCATATTTACAACAAAAGCAGACATCTCTTGCACCCCACCAATTCTGATTTAGCCACACGAGGAGCTCTGCATCGTGTGAAAGGTTTGCATCTAAAACCAGAAGGTGAGAAGCTCAAAGAAGCCCAGACGGCATGAAGCTTGCATTTCAGTGCAATCTAGGTACCTGGTTGACAAGACGGCAGGCGCGTTCCCAGCTCCGCACTTCTCCATAGGCCCCTGGCATCACAGGTGTAGGTACCTGGGGAAGATCAAAACACAAGCTCTGGACAGGAATCATACCACTAGGTGGTGCTGTCATAATGTCTTACGAGTTTTCTTCAGTCTATAAGGAGAATCTGCTGGGTCAGGCCAATAGCCCATCCAGTCCAGGATCCTGTTCTCCTGTGGAAAACCAGTGAGCAGGATCTGAGCAAGAGAGCATCTCTCCCCCTCCTGTGGTTCCCAGCAAGCAACTGGGATTCAGACGCATCGCTGCCTCCAACCGTGGAGGCAGGACAGAGCCATCATGGCTAGTAGACATCTGTGACGGACAGCAGAGCCAGACCAGAGTCTCCCCTGAAATCCCACCTGAAGGCTGGAGCCTCTCTCTGATTGGCTACAAAGTCAGCTGGCCACAGAAGGGGGAGGAGCAGCACTTTGGGAGAGAGAATAAAAGGGGCCGCTTCTGAGGGAGAAGAGTTAGATAGGGCTAAGGGTCAGGTTAAGAGATAGGGCTGGATTTGAGAAGAGATAGGGCTAAGGGTCAGGTTGAGAGATAGGGCTGGATTTGAGAAGAGATAGGGCTAAGGGTCAGGTTGAGAGATAGGGTTGGATTTGAGAAGAGATAGGGCTAAGGGTCAGGTTGAGAGATAGGGCTGGATTTGAGAAGAGATAGGGCTAAGTGTTGAGTGCCTGATCACCTCATCTGTCTCCTGAGAAATCTCTATGTGGGACAAGAAGCTACAGTTAGAACTGGATATGGAACAACTGATTGGTTCAAAATTGGGAAAGGAGTACGACAAAGCTGTATATTGTCTCCCTGCTTATTTAACTTATATGCAGAATTCATCATGCGAAAGGCTGGGCTGGATGAATCCCTAGCCAGAATTAAGATTGCTGGAAGAAATATCAACAACCTCAGATATGCAGATGACACAACCTTGATGGCAGAAAGTGAGGAGGAATTAAAGAACCTTTTAATGAGGGTGAAAGAGGAGACAGCAAAATATGGTCTGAAGCTCAACATCAAAAAAATGAAGATCATGGCCACTGGGCCCATCACCTCCTGGCAAATAGAAGGGGAAGAAATGGAGGCAGAGATTTTATTTTTTGGGGCTCCATGATCACTGCAGATGGTGACAGCAGTCATGAAATTAAAAGGCGCCTGCTTCTTGGGAGAAAAGCAACGACAAACCTAGACAGCATCCTACAAAGCAGACACATCACCTTGCCAACAAAGGTCCGTATAGTTAAAGCTCTGGTTTTCCCAGTAGTGATGTATGGAAGTGAGAGCTGGACCATAAAGAAGGCTGATCGCCGAAGAATTGATGCTTTTGAATTATGGTGCTGGAGGAGACTCTTGAGAGTCCCATGGACTGCAAGAAGATCAAACCTCTCCATTCTGAAGGAAATCAGCCCTGAGTGCTCACTGGAAGGACAGATCCTGAAGCTGAGACTCCAAGACTTTGGCCACCTCATGAGAAGAGAAGACTCCCTGGAAAAGACCCTGATGTTGGGAAAGATGGAGGGCACAAGGAGAAGGGGATGACAGAGGACGAGATGGTTGGACAGTGTTCTTGAGGCTACCAGCATGAGTTTGACCAAACTGCGGGAGGCAGTGGAAGACAGGAGTGCCTGGCGTGCTCTGGTCCACGGGGTCATGAAGAGTCGGACACGACTAAATGACTAAACAACAACAAAGGGCTAAGTGTCAGGTTAAGAGATAGGGCTGGATTGAAGATGAGAGATAGGGAGCAAGATAGGATTTGACTAAGGGAGAACTGGTTCTGAGTTAAGTTAAACACCCACACTGAGGAGACTATCCAGAGCAAGAGGAAAAAGCCTCTCAGCTTGGATAGGGAGACTGGGTTGAGGGACTGGGGAAGGTATACAGAGAGGAGTGTTCTGGGAGGGCTGTGTCTGAGCTGGGAGAGGCGGATCCTGTGGGAATTCAGGCTTCCTGGGTCTCATCGTAGCCAGGAGGGGGAGAGTTCTTCTAGGTACAGAAGAATCCTAAGCCAGTCGCAAGGGGTGAGTGGACCCTTTGGGTCTGTTATGCCATTGGGAACCCCTCAGGAGTGGGATTGCTAAGAGATCGGGTAACTGAGGAGAAGTGCCCCTCGCTCACGAACCAAGGTATTATTCGGTGAAGGAAGCTGTATGGTGTTTAAAGCGTTTAACTGTCATAACTCAGTAACAGAAACTGAAGTACAACGACTAATTTTGAGTAAACTGTGTACAACTTGTACACAGCCCGCAAGCAGAGCACGATGGCTATTTGTCCGCAATAAGTTATCCAATATTTGCAGGTACAGTGCCCCTGTACATGGAGGCTCCGCTAGCTGTTGTGGCTCATAGCCATTGGCAAACAGAGGGTGGGGATTTAAGAGCATGTTAAGTAGATATGTTCTATTCTGAGAGGAGCTCTAGGAGGGGGAATCCAGCAGCATTTTGGTGCAGTAGTTCACTTTGAACTGGCTTCTGTGGGCATGTACTGGTCAGCGCCAGTGTTGTCACCGACACTCAAATCCCCAGTGCAGTTCTTCAATTGTCTTCAAAATGGTTCCAGTTCCACTGAGCAGAAAGCTAATCTCACATTCGATTTGCTTATGAGTATGTGACTGCCCGGTGGGATTCAGGCCCTGGCTAAGAAACCACTGTAACCACCATTGAGAATTCTCCTCCTGTCTTCCGTCTTCGTGTGAGGAGAGGCAGGACATACATTGCATTCTTAGGAAATCACCTTCCTTCCCCTTCAGGGCCATTCCAGCCTCCTCTTCAGACAGCAGCGCTGCAAAAGTATTGATTTTGTCTCCGTGCCTCTGCCTAGCAATATCCTGTGGCAGGCCTGTTGCCTGGGGCTGCTTCCTTGCACTCCTAAAACATCTCTTGTTGTCACGGAAGATAAGCCTACCGATGGCTACTAGTGGGGATGGCTGCACGCAAAGCCTTCTTTTTCAAACAGAGGTTCACCCCAGTTTCCAGCCCATCTCTATTCCTCCCCTCCCTCAGCAGTCTTCTTCATCACTGGCTATAGATTTCGACCGCATTTGGAATATTTGGTAGCGTTCTGTTCACCTCACCTCACAAAGGAGATTATAGGGTTGGGAAAAGGTTCGGAAGGGAGCAACCAAAACAATCAAGGGAATGGAATTTTAGAATCTTAGATTGAAATACTTTATTGTCCTAGCGGCCTTTAGAAGGCAACTCTTGAGCACAAGCTCCTGGGCCAACTACATTTCTTGACCCGGCCCATCTTACTAGCTCTTTGTGGTCTTCTGTGAATGCTGCTTATCCCTTGTCCAGTCGCTGCTGCCCACCCAGCATGCAAACCCGGACCCCCCCGCCCCACCGCAGGGCAGCCGCTCTCACCTGTGACGTTGGGGACCATCTCGTAGTATGGATGCTGGCAGGAATACTGGATCGCCGACTGGTACGTGGTCAGGTTGTGTTGGGTGGAGAAGGTGACGAAGCCGTGGTCCAGCTCTCGTGGCGCCTTGCAGTCTGCAACTGGAAAGCCGAGCAGAGGGGAGGGTTTGGAAAAAAAGCCTCTGAGAATTAATTTGGAGTCTTGTGGCTCTAAAGCGATTCTCTGTCCCCTTCAAAAAAGTTGGTCCATCTTGGGAAATTGCAGCTACTAGCCAGACTGCAGACAGGCACTGGTTATAGAGAGCAGACAATTTGCTTGCCACAATAGCAGAGCTCTACTGGCTGTGCCCATCTGTTTCCACTGGCGGAGGAAGGGGGGTGCGGCCCGCTCTGGGTGTCACCACACATGTGGGTGGCGCCCCCCAGATGCTTGCCACACTGGCGTGCTCTGGTCCATGGGGTTTCAAAGAGATGGACACGACTAAACGACTAAACAACAACAACAAAGACTAGCCCAGAGGTACAGCTCTGAATGCTGCTTGCTGGGAAGGATGAATGGGAAAAGGTTACTGCGCTGAAGGCACCTTATTGACATGGGCCTGATCCAGTCCCAGGGCTCTTCTCCTATGATCTGATGCTTAAGGGTGGGAGCTGTGACATAAGAAAACCCACCCCAGGATGCAATGCAGTCCTCAGGCTTGCACTGGGACTGGGGGGGGGCAGGGGCATATGGAGTGGGGGGCTGAGGGGGCGGTCCACCCCGGGTGCCACTCTGGTGTGTGTGTGTGTGTGACAAGATGGCCCCTGCCTCCCCCCAGCTGCAGCCGAGGGCACGCGCAGTCCTTATAGGCGCCGCTCGCACAGCATCCGTACTGGCTGCCGATCTTGTGCGCCATCCATACGGGCGTCCGTACAGGCTGCCTCTCGCACGGCGGCCGTATGGGCTGCTGGGAGTGCGCAGTCCATATGGGATGCCACACATGCGGAGCCTGTATGGGATGCTGCTTGCGTGGCAGCCCATACAGACGCCGTGCAAGTGGCCGCCCATACAGAGTGTGCATGTGCGGCATCTAGTACAGACTGCGCATGTGCGGCAGCCCCTATGGTGGTTGTGTGTGCGCACTCCATACGGTATGCCACACATGCGCACATCGTACGGGCTGTCCTGCCCCGTGTGCCGGAGAGGGTTCCTCCGCCACTGCGGAGAGGGCACCATTTATAAGATTGGATGTTCCTTGCAGCTTACTGGATAGCAGAAAAACGATGGGCTGACTTTTTGCAGTCTGGAATGATTGCACTTTGCACAGATGATTGCACTTTGCATACTGCATTCTTGAGTGATAGTTTTATGACTGCTTCTGAGCCTTCGTGTAGAGCAAAGTCTGTTTGCGTAGAAGAAAGTCTGAACCTCCCCAGGCCCCACTCCCCAGAGAGGCCGGTGCTGTGCTTTGAAAGAATTAAGCAAACGAGGGTTGCGCAATTTGTTCTTATTTAACACCGACAGGTTTAATTTAATTGGTTTAACTTGCATCCTTGATTCCAGTTGCGCAAGAGTATCTGCTCTCTCTGTTTGAGTGTCGCTGTGCTTTTTCTTTTTTTCTTTTTTGCAGAAGAAAATAATTTGTTCTATATTGGTTGCGCAACATTTCCCCACCTTGTTTGCAGGATCCAGAATCATTGTCTGGGAACACAGCTGGCCTTGAAAGAGGGCTGACCCCCCTATCAACTGTATGGGAAAACCCAACCGGAAGACCAATTGTATATCAAGGAGGCAGTGATTCAACCATGGTTATTATTTATACCCTGCCCATCTAGCTGGCTTTCTCCAGCCACTCTGGGCGGCTTCCAATGGAATATTAAAATACAATAGCCGATTAAACATTAAAAGCTTCCCTAAACAGGGCTGCCTTCAGATGTCTTCTAAAAATCTGGTAGTTGTTTTTCTCTTTGACATCTGGTGGGAGGGAGTTCCACAGGGCGGGTGCCACTACTAAGAAGGCCCTCTGCCTGGTTCCCTGTAACTTGGCTTCTCACAGGGAGGGAACCGCCAGAAGGCCCTCGGCACTGGATCTCAGTGTCCGGGCAGAACAATGGAGGTGGAGACGTTCCTTCAGGTATACTGGGCCGAGGCCGTTTCGGGCTTGAAAGGTCAGCACCAACACTTTGAATTGTGCTCGGAAACATACTGGGAGCCAATGTAGGTCTTTCAAGACCGGTGTTATATGGTCTTGGCGGCTGCTCCCAGTCACCAGTCTAGTTGCTGCATTCTGGATTAGTTGTAGTTTCTGGGTCACCTTCAAAGGTAGCCCCACATAGGCATCTTCAAAGGTAGCCCCTCGCATTGCAGTAGTCCAAGCGAGAGATAACTAGAGCATGCACCACTCTGGCAAGACAGTCTGCGGGCAGGTAGGGTCTCAGCCTGCATACCAGGTGGAGCTGAAAGACAGATGCCCTGGACACAGAATAGACCTGCACCTCCATGGATAGCGGTGAGTCCAGAATGACTCCCAGGCTGCGTACCTGGTCCTTCAGGGGCACAGTTGCCCCATTCAGGACCAGGGAGTCCTCCACACCTGCCCACCTCCTGTCCCCCAAAAACAGTACTTCTGTCTTTTCAGTATTCAACCTCAATCTGTTAACCGCCATCCATCCTCCAACCGCCTCCAGACACTCACACAGGACCTTCACCGCCTTCACTGGTTCTGATATGAAAGAGAGGTAGAGCTGGGTATCATCATAAATCACTCTCCCCCCTCTCCTGGCTCAGTCTCCAGCCCATTTGCCTCAGCACCAGGGCCCTGCCAGTCCCTGACATTGGGTCCCTCTGGGGTCGTGGTGCCAAAGGCTGGGCCATACCCTGCTGGCCCAGGGTGAGAACTTCAGTACCAGCAGGGGGATACTGTAGATAGTTTTCACTCAGGTCCACATATGCAAATAATGGATTGAAAGTGACGCTCAGTGATTGGATAGTTACAGAAAGTGGTTACTGTTGCGTTCTAGTGGAGCTCTATCTATGCAGGCTGGCTGAACCCTTCAGTTCAGTTCTGTTCTGGCCTGTGAATAAACAAGAGCTGTTTGAAGAACTGCTGTGTCGTCTGATATGTTCACCCACAACTTAACACCTGGCACTAGCCCCAGGTGGCAGAGCCGCTGGAAGGAAAGAAGGCCTGGCCCCCGTGCCCTTTGAATTCAGCATTTGCCGTCCCAGAAGCATCCAATTTGCTCTCAGTGGCGTCCTACCCTCCAGAATTCAGGTCAATGAGGAAGAGAGAACTCGATGCAGCAAAAAGGTTTCCCTGAAAACTTTGAAAAGTAGGATTTTAATCACCTGGGAAGGGGTGGGTGTGGAGAAGGAAGGTGCAAGGAACCCAGTAAACTTGTGAGAGAAGAAATTTACAAGGGAAGAGGTGAGATGCAAAGAAATATGTTAATTAATGGGAAACGAACTCCCACGGTAAGAAGCTTGGCCTATTTTTAGTCGGTTGGAGTTGCATATTTAAATCAGGCATTGGAGGAGACAATGCAAGGGGGAATTTCTTCATAAGGGATGGAGAGAACAGGTGAGTGACTCCCTGGACCAGAGCACGCCAGGCTCTTCTGTCTTCCACTGCCTCCCCCAGTTTGGTCAAACTCATGCTGGTAGCTTCGAGAACACTGTCCAACCATCTCGTCCTCCGTCGTCCCCTTCTCCTTGTGCCCTCCATCTTTCCCAGCATCAGGGTCTTTTCCAGGGAGTCTTCTCTTCTCATGAGGTGGCCAAAGTCTTGGAGCCTCAGCTTCAGGATCTGTCCTTCCAGTGAGCACTCAGGGCTGATTTCCTTCAGAATGGAGAGGTTTGGTCTTCTTGCTGTCCATGGGGCTCTCAAGAGTCTCCTCCAGCACCAGAATTCAAAAGCATTCATTCTTCGGCGATCAGCCTTCTTTATGGTCCAGCTCTCACTTCCATACATCACTCCTGGGAAAACCAGAGCTTTAACCCATTTCTGGCTGAGCAGCTAATGCCTGCTAGCTGATAAGGGGAAGGAATGCTGGACCATATGCACATAGGAAGCTGTGTCATAATATTGGCCCACCTAGGGCAGTATTATCTGGCTTGCAGCAGCTCTCCAGGGTTTCAGACTGGGCTCCTTCCCAGCCCAATTAGAGATGCAGCGTTCAGGGACCTTCTGCATGCAAAGTGGATACTCTCCCACTGAACTCTGCCCTTGGTCCACAGGGGGTGGACTAGATGGTCCTTGAGGGTCCCCTCCAACTCTACAGTTCAGTTTTTCATTGGCTCGCACAGAATTCTGGTTTCAGGGTGTGTTTAAAGCCCTTTGTGGCTTAGGGACCTTGTATTTATGGGACCTGGTATGCCCCCACAGAGTACCTTAAAGTCCATGAATAACCATAGTTTAGAGGTCCCGGGCCCTAAGGAAGTCACACTATCCTCCACCCGGGCCAGGGCCTTCTCAGTGATGGTTCCGACCTGGTGGAATGCTCTGTCCCATGAGACCAGGGCCCTGCAGGATTTAACCTCCTTCCGTCGTGCCTGTAAGACAGAGCTATTCCACCTGGCTTTTTGAAGATCACCCGCTCTGAGACCCCACATCTAATTCTCCCCTGACCTCCTCGCTGTGCCCAAGTAGGACCAATTCAGCCAGCTAGCCCTGGGGATTATCTAATTGATTTTTGATTTTTATTGTTTTCATGTTTTTATACTGTATTTTATGCTGCTTTCATAATTAAGTGTCTTAAAGTGTTTTAAATTTGTTGTTAGCCGCCCTGAGCCTGATTTTTGAACTGGGAAGGGCAGGGTATAAATAACATTATTATTATTATTATTATTATTATTATTATTATTATTATTATTAATTATCATTATCATTATCATCTGCAGGCAACTATTATTGACTGTTCTGGCCCAACCCTCTATAGGGTCCAGCACATGATACCACCTGGATCTCCCGCATAGCATAATTGAAAAATGGAAGGGGAACGGACTTATTAAAATAAAATACAGAATTTATTCCAGACCTGTTTCCTCAGCTTATATGGATCTTTTTCACGCTTCTGAGAGGCTTTGAGTAAGCGCATTTGGGCTAGCGAGAAAGGAATTTGGTCTCTTTTCTTTTCTGTTAGCCAACTGTCTAATCTTGCCT